GAGGAGATGAGGATGTCGATGATGACTATGATATGGCATCAGACATTCAACTTCTCCTTCCCGCCGTTGATACCGTCCTCTCCAAGGTCAACGAAGTCCACCAAGAGATGCCCCGCCAAGGCGATCTTGATGCGAACTTCCTAGCCCTTCAGGCGAATGTTCAAGAAGTTCAGAGTCAGCTCCAGACTCTCTAGGAAGCTGTTCAAATCAACAACGATGCCCTCGCTGTTCTTCACAGTAGGGCTAACGATGCTCAAGCACTAGCTGAACAGCAGGCTGGACTTCTTCAGCAAATCCTGGATGATGTCCGTCAACCAGCTCCAGTGAGTGCACCCTCCTTCTCTACCGATGATCACGCTCAGCTCTCTCAAACGCGTGAGGCAACGAAAACTCTAGCCAATGATTTGGAAAGACTGGAGGATTCCATGGTTCTCCAGTGACAGCGCTTGGACGAACTCTCTGACCAATTCTCTAGAGTTTTAGCCAGAGAGGGGGAGATGAGGTCCAACGCTGGTGGATCATCCGATGTTGTTCCTACGACCTCTCAGGCTGTTGGTCCAGTATCAGCTTCAGTTGCAGTAGAAGCCGAGGCTGGTGAAGCCGAAGCGGTTGCTACTCCTGTAATCACGTCCACCGAAGCTGCTCTAGCTGAGGTTGACGTAGCCATCCCTAGGGATGATGTCCATACTGTCACTGCTGCTGGTGATGATGATGATGTTGAAGATGGTGAAGATGATGATGATGATGAAGACGATGATGAACCTGTCATTCTAGACACCGGAGATGATCTAGATGGTGACAACGACGACGATGATGAAACGACTTTACCATCAAGTTCCAGAAGCCATCAACCGTCACCAAAGGTGTTGCCCTCGGGGAAGCCCAATCCCAAGGGGAGCAGAGACAAGGTGAATCAACTCCATCAGGGCACCAGGACCCCAAGTCGAAAGGCAAGGCGGTCGCTGAAGAAGGTAACTTGAAGGTACTTTTCTCATGCCCTCAACAAACCTTATTTGAAGACTCTACCTCTCAGGTAGTGATAACTTCAAAGTACCAGCTTCACATCCCTTCAACAACCTGCGGTCGATTGGAGTGGGTATCTGATCAACCCARCTCTTTTACTCCAACAGACCAGTAGATGTCTCAGCTTAAGGAGTCGCTCGACCAGACTAGAGTAAAAATCCCTCTTCGTACCTCTAGTGGTGGTGAGTTTGACTTCCTTTATGAAGCTGAAAGACTCGAGGCATTAAAGGCTGAAGAAGAGCTAGAGCTTCAAAAGAAGCAGGCTGAAGACAGCTTAAAGCTGGCCAAGTCTCTAGCTGCTAAAGTCCTTCCCAATAAGTCCCAGAAAAAGGTGAGTGCTGTCCAAGCCCAGGCCAAACTCCTTTAGATTGCAGAAGCTGAACGCAAGAAGAAGCTGAAACTTGTGGACAAGGATAAGCAATGGAGCGAAGCAAAGTTGAAAAAGAGACTAAGTCCCCGTCCAATCATCAGCGTCAGCATCAACGGACGATCCAAAGACGGTGGAACACTGGTCTCAATGCTCATCACCAGTGATAATCTTGAAGCCGTTACCGAGTATCCTTCCTACGTAGGCCGCTATGGATACAGCGAATGGATGGAGATCAGACAAGCCACTCAGCAATCCAAGTCGAGACACAAGATACTTATCGAGGACACCATCAACAAGCTCATCAAAAGGATGTCCAGGTATGTCAAGGTCCCTGACCGGCCAACTCTGAAGAAAGGTGGGAAGAAGAAA